TAAAAATGTTCAAATGAACCCGATATCAATATCCGACCCGGTTAATATCCCAGAACAAGATTGATGCTGAACAGAAAATTCTCTTAGCTTCACTGTACTGATGGCTGCTGATGAATTCAATCTTCAGTTAAGTAAAGCAATGAACATGGAACAGTAAAGTTTGGCAGTTTGAGGGATATGTTAAAGGCAGAAATTAGTTAACTTATCTTATCAATGATTATTGTTTGAAACATTACAACTTGACAATTCTTGAAACCAAAACTAGAAAATTGTCTTCTTCCTCTAACATTCTAAATGTTTGTCAAACCTAGCTAACTCCAATTAATTTTTAATACCATCAACAGGTGAATCAATTTTTTTATTTTTTATTTTGAACAGGTGAATCAATTATCACGCCAAATATGATACTTACTAACTCAGGTAAAAGATAAGAAGATGCAAATATATGAAATCACATCTTATATTATGAAATCCCTCTTAAATCTTGTTTAAGATATTCTTTATTCATTCCCAAATAGTATATTTTACAATTCCATAATTATAACAACACATTATCTAACATTCACTTTCTTGTAGTAGTTTTCTTTCCATGAGTTAATTATTTTTCACTTCCACAAAGTCTTCTTACATTCTCATTAAAAAAAATAAAAAAAATATTAGAAGTAAACTCCAACATTTGACAATAAAAATTAAAGAACGGTACAAATCGATTTTGAGGAAAATACAAAATAACAGAGAAATGGCAACTCAAGTTGAGCCTCAAAATGGATTTGTACCGTTCTTTAATTTTTATTGCCAAATGTTGGAATTTACTCCTAATATTTTTTTATTTTTTTAATGAGAATACAAGAAGATTTTTTAGAAGGAAAACTAATTAACACAAAAAAAGAGAGGGCCCCTTTCGGGGGGAAGCGCTCCCTACCAAGGTTTTTTTCATACCCAAGGCTCGAACTCGAGACCTCTGATTAAGGGAAGAACAGTCCCATCCACTGCACCACATCCTTTGGTGGTGAATAAAACAGCATGTTATAGTTTATAAAGTAACATCTCAAAAAGCAAAGAATAAGAGCAGTAATAAGCAAAAATAGAGGAAAAGAGTAGTAGAATTATAGCAAGTTCACCGTTAAATTAAACAAAAGATATTATTTGAAAATAGATAAAAGAAGAAATTAAATACTTTAATCATGATTAGTATTTTAATTTATTTAATTATATCTCTCATTCATTAATTTTTAACCATGACAAGTGTCTCAAATCAAAGTAGGAACTTGGAGAAATAAAGAGACTATGAAATGAAGGGGAGTTGGATCTGAAGCTTTTGAAGTATTTGGAGATATAAAAAAAAGTGTTTAAGTGAAATTTCATATTTTTTTTTCATAATATTATCCACTAGTTTCGCATTTATGTTCTAGCTTGTAAGATAAAAGATAAGTCATTTATGAGTAGAGCGTGAAATCAGTTGAACATTGTAAATATATATCAATTTTCTAAATTTTAGGAACATGGGTAGGAGCTGTTACGGATTTTTATTATGAATGTAAATATTAACAGCTAGAAATGTTAATTAAGTGCTACTCCTTTGACTTTGTAAAAGTTTTAAAATATTGCACAATTATGTTTTTTCCTCTAATTCATAATCAAATAAATACTTAAAATCCAATAAATTAAAAGCAAATAAATTTAAATGTATGTTAATACGTACTACTTGTTCCTGATAAATTATCACTACATGCTTTTTGACTTCTTTATTATTATTATTATTATTATTATTATTATTATTATTATTATTTGTTATTATTGTTGTTGTCGTTTTACTGGTCTTATTAAATTGTTTTTTCTGGGATGTAATGTGTCGGCTACAGGGGCGACCCGACCAATTTTGCGGCCTAAAGCCAAATTTTATGACGGGCCTTAATTTTTTAATTTTTTTTTATTATTTATTTGAAATCTATTTTTTTTTAGCTTTTCTTAGATACAAAGTTATAAATAATTTCTTACCAACAATAACTCCTAATAAGTATTTCTCAGTTGACAATATAACTAATCCATTTAACGTTTCTTGTGACATTGTTGTTCTTAGTAAGATTTTATCAATTTTAATTTTGAAAACTTTTCTCCGCTGAAGTAACTGTAACATGAGTTATTAATATTATTTCATAAGCAATTTAGGCATTCGGGAAAGAATTAAATCTTTTTATTTGATTAAGTGTATCAATTAAACTGTTATCTTCTAATTGTACTATTTTTCTTAATATTTTTAATTCATAAAATAAATATAAACTATCAATATCGAATTGATTATTATGTTTTAAGGAACAACCAAAATTAAGGCAATATTTTTTCAAATTTCCAACATCTAGCGATCTTAGCTTTTACTACTAAATAGAAAATCAAAAATCTTTTCACATGCTTCGAATTGTTCAAATCTATTTTGAAGTGAAAAAATAGCCTTGTCTATTATGTATAAAAGTAATCAACTCTAAAGGACTCTTCGAAAGCTTTTGAGATTTCATTATCAACTTTGCACATCAAATTGTTACTTCCTATATATCACACGTTTCTTGCGAAATACGGGTTCGATATTCATTTCAAGTGCAATTTACTTGGTAGAAATCATAGCAGTTGCAAATCCTTCTTCTCTATATTTGTTAAAGAAAGAAATCAAACTTTTTTCACTTTACAGAACTTTTTTTAAACTTATATATAGTCTATTAGGTGTAATAAAAAGTGGGGCCCCCACAAATATGAGGCCTAAAGCGATTGCTTTACTTGCTTTATGGAAGGGTCGCCCTGGTGAGCTATTTCTTATATCATATTATGCACTAGCTTACGCTCTTAGAGTATTTGCATTAACGCCTCACCATTTTTTTCTACATTTACACTTTTTTTTTTTAAAAGGAGCATTCTTCCTATTCTATCATTTATGGGCTTCCCAAGAATTTTGTCGATGGGTCAGAGTAGGGGTGTTCATAAAAACCCGAAAACTAAATCAAATCGACCAAAAAATTCGATACTTTTTTAATTGGTTTGGTTTTGGTTTTGAATTTTAAAACCGATCAAATTTGATTTGGTTTTGGTTTTAATCAGAAAAAAACCGGAAAAAACCTAATCAAACAGACTATAGGAGTAGCTATTTCAAATTTTTACACCTATATATATATATGTATATTTTATACAATTTCAAAATTTTTATAGTAAATGTTAATAGTTTGCACTTTAGTATAGTTCTTTACCTTCAACATTCTAGTTTGATTGGTAGTTTTCTTTTGTTAAGTGTAAGAATCCATTTCGTGTTAAAAATAATATATTTTTAATTGAGTCCTTATATGATTCATCACTATTTGATTCAATCTTGGTAAATAATAAATTTCTCAAAGGACAATTGATTTGATAGTGTTACGTTGAAAATGTGGTCGCGGGAATATGTGTTGGTAGTGTATGTCTTATATTTTAAAAAAAAACGATAAATAACCGAAAAATCGACAAAACCCGACATAAACCGAATCGAGAAAAACCGACTTAATTGGTTTGGTTTGATTCTAATATTTGAAAAACCGACTTACTTGATTTGATTTCTTTTTAGGGAAAAACCGATCCAACCGAACCATGAACACTCCTAGGTCAGCGTGCACCATTTTTTCTGTTTTCCTTAAGAGTCTCAATACCCAAAATTTCTACTATATTATTGATTTCATAATATCTAGCAGTTCTAACCAATATATTCGTGAAAAATTCTGCAGAACTTATCATTTTTGTTATTTAAAAAACAAAAAAAAAAAACAAAAAAAATTGGCTAGAAGCCTAGAACTACCCTTTTATTAAATTCTATCTTATGTATTCTAACTCTCTCAATTAGTTCCAATTTATGCAGGTCGAACTTGATCAACTTGAACTATCTATGATATAGGTCATAGCCTAAATTATTCCATACGAATACTAATGTATTTTTTCGTTTGATTTGTTAAATAAATTTTTTTATGTATACTTTCACATGCCTTTCCACTCTATAAAGATGAGAGATTTTATTTGGTTTGATGATTAAACTAATCATAAGAATTAAGAAACATAAAATACAAACAAATGAGGGGGGACCTGGTTTTGCACTGGACAGGCAACCTGATCAATATGTTATTAGTTCAAAAACTTAGCATCTAGGATCCGTGGCGCAATGGTAGCGCGTCTGACTCCAGATCAGAAGGTTGCGTGTTCGATTCACGTCGGGTTCAATCCCCCGATCCATACGGGTCCCTCTTCTTTTTCTCACTTTTTCTTCTTCCTTCTCTTTTCTTCTTCTTCTTTTTTTTTTTTTTTTTTTTTTTTTTTTTTTTTTTTTTTTTTTTCTGAAACCTTTTCTTTCTTCAAATATTCAGAACCAGCCTTTTTGACAATAGTGAACTTTCTTCCCTTCGGAATGTCTGTAGTTACAACGTATATCAGCATTTACGTTCCTTATTACTTCTTTAAAATTAATCTAAATAGCCGTATACCCAACCGCTTAAAAAGAAATGGTCAATGAATATATAATGTATAATCTATATATAATATGTGTATAATCGTGTATAGTTCATATATACCGGATAAGATAAGGAAACAACGAATCCGAGCGGCTATTTGGGTAAAGATCCCTATTCTTTATTACTGCTTTATTTTTTATTTATATATCCAAATGTTGAGCTTGTTTTGAGAGCCACAAGAGGAAATGCAAATGTTGCCGCTGTTTTTTTTTTCTTGGAAGGGTCAACCAGTGAACGAATAGGGAAAGAGAAAGCTAAAGAAGACGAGGAGAAGGCTTTTTAAGAGATCTGAACCGTGCACCTGAACAATAAGGTGGAGTTACAACCATTAAATGATATTCTTAATCTTAGAAAAAAAAGAAGATATATAGTTGATATTTTGTAGTTGTGTTCCCGAGTCATGATAATGCCTTTCTAAATGGTTGCAGGTGTATGTGTGCACGTTTACAGACCAACAAATCCGAATAATAAAGCAAATACTCCACGTGAGACACATTTTGGCTTCACCTATTAATTCCTTGCCAACCATCTCAAATATATTACATGTTGTCCCATCCTTCCAGAAAGAATCATGCCAGAGAGAGTCTTCTAAATTACCGAGTTACAATAGACAAGCTCCATAATTGAGCTCACAAATGGCAATGACAACTAAATTCTAATAAATAAATGAACAAGCAATAAATATCATGTAACCTAAGAACTACATGATGGAAAAGGCATGAGACTCTTTTCCCATCTCCCAGCAGGTAAGAACTGGGGACGTGCCGATGATGATACAACAGTATGGCTAGGTGGTTTCCTAATCCTGGAACAATTGCATTGAAAAAAATCCAATAGGAGCTAGAGCAAGGTTGGGTATTTTGCATCAAGGAAATCCCTTAACATTTTGGCAGCCTTCTGACCGCCCATCAATTCTGCTAACCTCTCCATTGGAAGCATGGCAAGTTCCGCCAAGCTTTTGCACCCATCCATTAATACCCTATAGTTGGAATCTGTCACGCCTGGCAGCCGTCGCAACAACTCTACTGCAGATGTGTTATAATTTTCAGCTCTACAAAAAAGTGAAAAAGAGACAATGTCACCAAGCTGCTAAAATATCTCTTGAGAAATCAAAATAAGATTTCAGATATTCGACCTAGAACTGAGACAACTTTAGGACTAACCTGACATCATTTTCAATGACACCCTCTTCTGATGGGACACCCACTCTAATTGCCTTGACCTCATCAGGTTCATCTTGGTTTGCCTTAAGAGAAGCAAATATTTCGGCTGTTGCATGCAGACTGCGAGACCAGATAATGCGAAGCCGAGGGAAGTGGAGAACAAGCAAGGAGAGCTTCGAGATAATGCTATTTGGAGTTACATCATCACCAATTTCACTAGCAGACTACAAAGGAAATAAGAACTTATCAAGAAAAAGAAAACCTATTACAACAGAGATGTAACCCAAAGCAAAATATATGTAGCACAATGTACCTGGAACGAAAAGCTTTTGTCCTGTGAAAACTCAATAAGAAGAACAGGAATCCGATAATAACGTGACATCATTTCCACCTGGTGGTAAAGACGGCCAGATGCAAAACTGCCAAATAGATCCTGTATACTCTTCCTTTCTACACATATCAATGGTGAAAGTATGTAATCACCGACTTCCAAGGTCACTGGTATAATGCGCATACCTTTCTGGTGGAGTACATTAGGAAGACTACTCATGAACTCCCTCATGTCCACAATGACCTAGTTAAAAAGAAACAAGTCTCTGAATTGGGACAATGTCATACAATTACGTAATTGTCAAGTGAATCAAAACTTGGAATACATACTTGTATTTCCTTTTCTGCTTCTCTTCTTCCACCAGCTTTTCTGGTTATTAGATTTTGGGAAATAACAGACTGAGGCTCATTGGAAGAATCCAGTCCCAGACAACGCCCGTCCTGATAATTATCCACAATTAAATCCCAAAACAGAAAAACAGTTATTAGCAAAAAAGTTTGGGTTCTCCCAAATGAATGCAAATTTATGGAGGCAATAACCAAAATCTGGAAGAAAAATGCTCAGATTTTAGAAAAGTATTTATGCAGCAATTCAAAAACTGATTCGAGTTCCCGTTAGATTTGATTGCAGATTAAAGGGAACTTAATTTACACCAAGGAAAATCCACTATACACACAAGATACAAGTCATTCACAGATGAAGATTTAATGCACACACTATCTAATTCATCCTTAAATTCTTTAGATTTTAGAGCATGGACTCCACATCCTAGGTAGATCTCTTATGTTGTACAAACAATTCATGCCTCTTTACTTTTACTACATTACTTTTGTGAATAAGAGGGTTTCAGACGTTATAGTAGACTCCTCAACATTTGTAGGAATAAATATCTTTTTGTCATGAAGAAATTAACAACTAGACACTTAATAACGACATTATATATTATTGTCATGCATAGAATATCAACACACTTTAACAAACAAAAAGATGTACTGAAATGTGACGGAAAAAAAAAAAAACAGAGCCATAACAAAACCTAATTGAGAACCCTCAATCTCACTGAGTTAAAAGAAAATCAAATACATTGCAAAGTCAAATTTCTTTAAAACAGACATAAACGGCAATTTAACAGTAGATGTGATGCGGCGGATAACGACAAGTAGAAAAGAGCTAACCTGATCTACTGGAATCATCATCAGTGATTTCTGTCTTATAAGGGACTCAAATGCTCCATTTTCTCTACGCACACTTGCCTCAAACTTTTGCACCTCAGTAGAGTCTTCATAGAAAAGAAAGTACACCTTAACATTTCTTAAAGGGTTCTCAGCTTTGTAGATCTCAACCTCTCTCACAAATGCAATGTCAGGATGGTAAGCAATGATGGTAGAGGGCTTCAAAATATCAAGAATTTTTTGATCACTCTCCAGGGCATAGAAAACCACAGGTGGGAGCTTCTTAGTTTCTCTTGAAGACTCAGCATCCAGACCTTGGTCGTGCTTTCGATGAAATACTTCATCTGAAAAGCCGCCTTCCATTGCTTTATCTGGGAAAATACCAGGAACTTAAGCTCTGATTCATTTGTTTTTGTTATTGTACAAAGAAAAAGTATCAAATTTACCAGTTGATGCCACATCATTGTTGGTTTTTTCACCAGCAGAACTTTTCTTTTTCTTTCCTTTACCCTTTCCTTTACCAAAACCTCCATCATCTACATGTTTCTGATCACCAGCTTCAGCATTAGTATCCTTGTTGATTCTTTTGCTAATTTCTGATGCAGCTGCCAGCAGTGCATCATGCTCCTGCTTGCTTATGCTACTAACTTCTGCTTTCTTTCCAGCCGTTGCGACAACTCCATCAAGTACCCCGAAACCTTTCAGCTCTTTAGCTTTCTTTGCATTGCGTTTTGGTAAAGCCTGCAGCTGTACCTTGCTCAGCAGATACTTTTCCCACTCTTCACGCATAACCTATCCAGTATGAATTGTATTGAGATACCAATTTTGTGTTGCACGTAGAACATGATCAAGAACGATACGTTTTGCATTACAATTAAAGAAAACAAGAGATTGTGTCAAATAGCCTTTTAGCATATCTTTTGCAGTAATTTGTTTGAGCTATTCTTTTTAATGTACTGGGACTAACAAATTTTATTAAGAGAGACTGATACACCTTCTCTTATCCTCTAAATATATAAATAAATAAAAATAAAACCCAAAAAGAAAAAATTAAGAGAAACTGAACAAATGAAGAAGACGTAAAGATTTTGGCTTAGTAAAGATAAGAGATTGGAAAAACCTTCTGCGGGCCATTTGTGATGCAATCTTCGAGTTGCATGCATGAATGTTCATCTTTGCAAGCAACTAAAACAATCCCGTTATCATCCCCTTCATCTAGATGATCTTTCTCTTCTCCAGACAATGCTCGTTTATCTCTTTCCTCTTGTATCTCCACTAGGACATCCTGTGCAAAGAATCAAGCCATAAAATCCCAGTTGAAATTATTATCTAGGATTAGAACTCATGAAAGCAATCAGTTGATTTTCTTAGGCAGAAGCCAGCAGATCAACAGGATTAATAAGTCAACATGATTTTTATAAAGTACTTAAAGTTGATTCTTCAACTATCAAAGGCTAAAACAATCACTGAGAAAATGGAAGTCACTCACTCACAAGTAAGACCTTCCACTTTGGCGGCTCCTCCAACACTTCCTCCAAAACAACTCTGCTCTCTGTGTTAGTTGACTGATCTATGAGATATAAACAAGAACAAGAGGAACCATGTCATATTTTACAGTTACACGCTATTGTGCTACTAGTGAATTATTAATAAGAAGATTCAGTTTGAGAAAATTTACACGATACACTATTTCATTTTCTATATTCTATTTCCGGGAGAGAGGGAGGGGGGGGGGGGGGTTGCCCATTGAGGGTACCTTACATTCAAGTTATTTAAATAAGTCCAACTCACTTATTAAGTAAATGAACTGAGAATCCAATTGACAAAGAAAGTGCCAGCAACCCCAATACACACCTTCATCCTTCTTGTTGTCATTAAGCTTTCTCTTTTTGGTTGATGCAGTCTTAATTTGCCCCAGTTTTCCACTGTCTGACCTCCCAAAATGATAAACTCGCTTCTTCGCATACTCAAAGATCTTGTAACTGGACTCTGCAAATATCCAAACGGACCGGAAACTCTCTGATGCTCTAAGTGAGTCTAGGAACTTCAAGTAATTTACAGCATCATACCTACTCATATAAGAAATAGATAAGTACTACTATAAAAACAAGAACCATAAGCCAAGAGAAACTGAAACAGACTTCACACACAACACCAGTGCCGATAAACAAAGGATTCAGACTAGCAACCAAGTAGATCCATCTTATTATATTATCTCTCTGAACCAATCTGCTTGTGCCAGTGTGAGACAATTATTAAGAAAATGTTTTTTTAGTATTTGTCGAGAATATGTGAGGTCGTATTTTAAATATTCTAGTGTAGAACAGAATATAGAATAAACTTGTATTAAGAAGAGTAGAAGTTGGTCTCAGGAAACTTGTGGTATTTAAAATGTGCTAAAACTTTCCATTTAAGTTAAGTGGAGAAGGTTTTGGGATAACCTGAAAAAAAAAGTAGGTCAAACACTTTAGACCAAAGGGAACACCACTAGACACTTTCACTTATTTTTAAACAGATACTGTCTAAAAACCAGTAAGACATCCAAGTCATACCGACAACTAATGGTTTATATTTTGTGGTATTCAAAATAATCTATCTTCCAATATCAAAAACTTGATCTCTTTGCCATTGTTTTGCAAATATAACTAGGGCAGTTGAGTGACTCTTTACAAGTTAGACAAACTCTCATACTACTATATACTATAACATATACTTGCATGCTGTTTTCGCTTAAATTGACACCCAACAAATACACATTTCGACTTAACGGAATGAGAATATTGCATAAGCCATAACCGGATGCAGCAATATCAAGAGTATGTAAGCATCAAATAATAGCATCTTGACCAATAAACAACCCAGACAACATCACAGAAAAGTATTAACAATAACAAACCCTCTTGTTCAGAATATAAGAGCCATCAACTAGCTTTCATTAAAGAGACAAATAGATATCTCAGATACATTTAATACCAACAAAATAGTGCATAAAAAGACACAGAATACAGGTAATACCATCAAAACAGTGTGCAAAAACTAAAAAGACAACATGGTGAGAGAAAATATCAACTTTCGTACCTAACAAGGTAATCCAACAGCTTTCTTAATGTCTTCAAATCTGAAACAAGCTGCTTAGTTCTCTTCCCTAAGGTATGCCAGATGGGATCTAGCTGCCTTCTCACTATCTCATCGAACGACTTAAACAAACCATTCTCCACTGTCAAGTCTTCTACATCAACCTTATTAGTCTTTCTCATTTCCTTCAAACATGCATCCATCACCTCAATCACTGCTTTTTGAATCCCAAGCATATATGTTGACATTGGTACCCTTATATCTACAACCTCTGGTGGATTCCTCTCTAAATCTTGTGATACATAAACCTGAAACAGCAAGAATAAACCACTCAAACCACATTACCCCCAACTTAGGTTGCTATCCACTCCCCCTGCTCATACACTGGCCCTTCTAATTATCCAAGTAAACTGAAAAATAAGGTCAGAATAATTATTTAAGGAAAAAAAAACTACTACTCCGTGGCATTACATGTAATTAACCTAAGTTGACTTTCATGAAGTTCAAGCTTAAAGTCATCACATAAATGGCAAATAGTAGAAATTGTGTAGATTATGGATTTATTTTGTATGACAGAAAATGCTTCCTTGGAAATCATTCAAGTGTTTGGCTACCTTGAATTGTAGAAACATTTTTTATGACGGTGGTGTCCTAGCAAGCTTGTGCACCCCTAACTATTCGACTGTATACATGTTTGTACCTCCCACCAGTAGTTAGGGAGAAATCACGGATTTGAACCTGAGACCTCACGGTTCTTCTCTCACTTCATTGACCACTAGTCTACACTCTACACCCTTGGGTGCTGAAATATGAGTAAAAATATTCTCCCATTACAATATTTTCCTACAACTCATTGTTGTCAACCTTTAAAACTCAAAATTACCACCAAAACACTAATCTCATAAACTATCCACCTTACGGTATTACCAAATGTACTAACTTTTATACCCAAATAAACACTAGAAACTGCTCAAGAAAATGATTTCAAAAGATAACAACACATTTATTTTCCTTCATAGAAAACGCCTGTTATAAGTTGATAATCGAGGTTAAGGTAACTACCTGGAATCGAGGCCAAAGATGAAGCTTTCTAAGGAAAAGGCATTTAAGTGTTCTCTCAGCTTTAGCAAATCCAGAAACCATGGAATGAGGCCGGTCCGAAAATGCACGAACATAGAGATCACGATTCGTTGACCGCAAAATACGCACAATAAAGGCCTCCGTAGACGTATCCGAAAGCAAATGAGCATTGAGTACAATAAGTCCGGCGACAGCAGTCGTCGGAAGACGACGAGTCAACAGGTCAACGATGAGAATCCGTGAAGTGATGAAAAGAATCCCACCGGAAGAATACAGCGACAGCCGCTGGTTCGCCGGCAGGTCGGAAGTGATCTCCGCCGGTGAATTTTGAACTTCGTCGGAGATTTGAGATTGTGTGACATTTTCGTAATTTCGTAAGATGGAGGCTTTTTGAGACGGAGTGGCGGAGAGGATGAGTAAGCAACCTTGGGAGTGGTGGTGGAGGAGGAAAAGGGAGGAGATGAGCTTATGCAGACCGAGACCAGAGGAGGTTACTACTAAACCGCCATTGGTATCTTCTAGAAGTTCTGTGATTATATGCTCCTGGAATTGCACCATATTCTTAATTCTAGGTTTCCGCCTTTTGTGGTGGTTTTAGGTGGCGGGAATTCGCCAGAGTTCGTTGAAAGAATTTAAAGTGACCTTATATATGTAGAAATTTTGGGTATAGGGGTTTAGACAAATCTTAAATTTCAATTTCACCCCTGTATTTGAAAATATGTCGCTTTTGCTATCCATATTTCGTTTTTCTCATCCTGTTTAATTAGTAAAGTTAAATATAGGACTCTCTGCATCTTTTTCAAAATTTTCATGTAGTCCATCGAGGGAATTATAACATAATCACTGAGATGATTAATTTTTTCTTTCAAAAAGTTGTGAAAATTGGATATTTTAATTGGTAATAGTCATTTTCCCCTCCAATTTATGTTAAAAATTGTTAGTAAATTTCTTTTCCAATTTTACTCTATAAATATGCCTCTCTTATTTGAATTCAATGAGCATTCACGGACTAAGCAGCTGAATCAGGAACTTTATAAAGAAGCTCGAGAGGATTAGCAATGGTGATGGAAAGAAGATGATGAAATTGAGAGAATTGAGAGAATTTGAGAGAGAGATTGTAATAGTTGTTTATTGATGATTGTAATATGTAAAGTATATTGTTTTATAGAGAATATAAGCTCACACAATCCAGTCTTGATTCCCTATACTCTCAGCTAACTACTATAACTAACTCCAACTAACTTTCTAACTAACTCTATTAACATCGCATTCTTATTAACTAACTAATTTCAAAAGAATCTATATTTGTGTATCAATACTCCCCCATGTAGAAGATCCTTGACCACAAGGATCAAAGTCTGAAAATCTTGTCTTGGGCATATTAAAGAATTCTCAAGTAGCATGATCTGCTGATAGACCTGACCACTTGACCAAGACATGTGCCACTGCTTTATTTCCCTTCTTCATCATTCTTCTTTACAAAATAGATTCAGGGTCACGGCAATGAGGACTAGCAATATCGGTGACATGAGGATATGAAATTTAAGCAGGCACCTCATAGCACTTCTTCAATAAGGACACATGTACAGTAGGATATATCTTTACTGAAAAGGAAAAAGAAGAGTGTAGGCCACTGATCTCACCCTCCTTATGATCTGAAAAGGATCATAATACTTCGTAGCTAGTTTGTGAAATGGTTGTGTTGATAGGGTAATCTGTTTGTAAGGCTGAACTTTCAAATATACCCAATCTCCTACTTCAAATTGTATGTCACTCCTATGAGAGTCAGCTTGTTGTTTCATTCTTAGTTGGCCTTCATTAGGTGATGTTTCAGTAGCTGCAACTTGAATTCTCTGTTCAACAATGTCTTATCAATATCAGTTGATGCAGATTCACCTGGTAAGTAAGGCAAATATAGTAGAGGTGGTCTTCCATAGAGTGCCTCATAAGGAGTGATTTTAATAGCAGAATGATAAGATGTATTATACCAATATTCTGCCATAGCTAGGTAGGAATACCAGTGAGTAGTTTCTTCAGTGCAAAAGCATCTCAAATAGGTTATCAAACACATATTCAAGACCTTAGTCTAGCCATCAGATTGAGGGTGGTAAGATGAGGAAGTATGCAATTGTACATCCAGTATTGAAAAGAGTTCTGCCGGAAAGAACTCAGAAAAATTGCATCTCTATCACTAACAATTGATTCTGGAAGACCATGTAATTTGAATATAGTGTCCATGAACACCTTAGCTACGGATTGAGCAGTATAAGAATATTTTAGAGGAATAAAATGGCCATATTTGCTTAACCTGTTCACTACCACCAGTATTACTTCATAACCATGGGATTTTGGAAGTCCATCAATGAAATCCATGCTGATTTGAGACCAAACTACATCGGGAATTGGGAGTGATTGTAAGAGACCAGGGTAAGCTGCTAAGTCAGCTTTACTTCTTTGGCAAACATCACACTTCTGCACAAAGTTTTTTACATCATCCCTTATTTCCTTCCAATAGAACAGTGTCATTACCCTCTTCAATGTTGCATCAATTCCAAAATGACCTCCTTATGGTGTGGAGTGCCATAGAGCAATGATATCCTTTCTCAACTACTGAACCTTCCCTACTACCAACTTTCCCTTCCTTTTCAATTGGTTATTGTACCAAATGAATTGAGAGTGAGCTGAGGGATTGATCTGTAACTGTTCAATGAGCGCCTGTACTTTAGGATCAATGTCCCAACTATGGATTATAGCTTGCATCAAGTCTGAGTTGGTGGTAGAAATCACCAGAGCAAATAGCTTAGTCCTAGATACTCTAGAAAGAGATATGTTACCTTGTTTGTACTTCCCTTCTTGTATTAAATGATATATCAAATGGCATCAACTTGGTCAGCCACATCAGTTGAGAATTTGTATGAAGTTTCTGTTTCATTAAGAACTTTAGAGCTTTTTGATCAGTTCTAATGACAAACTTCTGACCAAGCAGGTATTGTGACCATTTGGTCACTGCATGAACTATGGCCAATAATTCTCTATTATATACTGAGAGAGCTGCATGCTTGGGTGAGAGTGTTTTACTTATGAAAGCTATCATAAGAACAACCCATATATATCCCATATCAACTAGCATCTGTTTCCATAATGAATGTTATGTTGATATCTGGCAAAGCTAAAACTTGATAGGTTACAAGTACCTTGGTCATAAGTACTTCATTTTATGTTTTGATGATCTAACAAACTTACTATCCAGAACAAGATGAGGAACCTGTTACACATTCTCAAGACCTTAAGATCACAAGGTTCCAGCTTGGGTTATGGTTCAACTCTTCAGAGTAGAAGGAACAGCTGAGGGAACAGGTCCCTACAAGTTCCCGAGGTGACTATACGAAGTCAACTCTCCAGCTGGAAAAGTTGCTGCCTACATACGCTACAGTACATGAACGGTGTATCAGTAAACTTTCTATGGAAGACTTTTTACCTACCTTGCTTACATCATTGTAAGTGATGTCATACATGTATTAATACAATCAAGGAAGGTAAAACACTTCACTTGAACACTTAGAGATTTTCACTCAAGCTCTCATGTGATCATCCAGCAAGCAACTCTCAGGTGCTTCAAGAACAATGAACAAAACAACTACGGACCAGTTCCCACATCAAGTTATTCTATGTCTTTAGTTGAGTTGTAACCTTGTTAATGTTCTTACTTGTAACTCCTACTTAGCTTACTAAGAAGCAGTGTGTAGGAAACCCTTTGTAAATCTTAAACATTTGTGTTTGAGTCTTGGCTAGAGTTAGTCGAGTTGTGAAGTCTTTGTAATAGAGGTATTACAAAGTGGCTTGTAATAAGTGTGCTACAAGTTAGTGAGGGATTAAGAGGTTAATTCCTAGGTTGCATAGGTTGTAATCTAACAGTTGCTCAATAGTGAAGTTGAAATCCTACAAGGGTAGGTCGTGGTTTTTAATCCCGTTGAGCTGAGAATTTTCCACGTAAAATTCCTCTTGTCATTTATTTACTCTAGCGTCCGTGTGTTCTGTTGAACCTGATAGAGAACCTGGTTCTCTATAGAGTTTGGTGGACCCTTATTTCTATTAATTGGTGTCAGTGCAGGTTCTTTCTATCAGGTTAACACCTAGAAAGGATCCTCATGGCTGCTCCTCCAAACTTCGAAGAAGGCCAGTCGACTTATAGACCACCTAGGTTCAATGGACAGTACTATGGATGATGGAAAACTAGGATGCACGACTTCATCATGGTTGAAGATTCAGAGCTATGGGATGTATATGTGATGGACCCTTTGTTCCTACCAAGCATCTTGGAGACCCAGCTGTAGCCATTCCCAAGACAAGGAAAGAATTCAATGACGCTGATAGAAAGGCCATAGAGAAGAATTTTCGTGCAAAGAAAATTCTGGTGTATGGCATTGGTTCTGATGGAACAACACACGTTAAGCAATCCAAAATCGGCATGTCAGTTAGCCAAAGAAATCTGGGAAGCCCTTCAAACAGCTCACGAAGGAATAACACACATTAAGCAATCCAAAATCGACATGCTCACAACTAAATACGAGCTCTTCAGGATGAAAGATGATGAATCCATCCAAGATATGCATACAAGGTTCACCTCCATCATTAATGAGCTTCACTCTATTGATGAAACTATTCTAAGAAACAAGCTGGTTAGAAAAATCCTCAGTGTGCTGCCTATTTCCTGGGAAAGCAAAGTGAACACAATTGCAGAAGCGAAGGACTTGCAAGAGCTAACCATTGATGAGCTTGTTGGCAATCTGAAAATATATGAATGAAGAAGAAGAAGGATAGTGAAAGAAGAGAGCCCAAAAGGGAGAAGAACCTGGTCCTCAAGACAGAAAGCAATGATTCAAGTGGTAAGGATGGTGATATGGCATACCTGACAAGAAGATTCCAGAAGATGGTTCGCAGGAATGGAGGCATTCCAAAAGGGGGAAGTTCTAGCAAGCCAAAAAATTATGACCTCTGTCATAAATGTTGCAAGCCAGGACATTTCATCAAGGATTGCCCTATCCTAAAGCAAGATCAGTACAAAAACAACTCTGACAAAGCGGCCAAAAGGAACCCGGTTCATGATAGATGCTTCAATAGGAAAAATACCGCTGACAATGTCGTGAGACAAGCTCTTGCTGCATGGGGAGATTCGTCAAGCGAATCTGGAGAAGATGATGAACCAGGTGACATTTCTATGATGGCAGTAGAAAGTAAAGCAACCGAGTATGATTCAATTTTTGCTTTGATGGCTCAGTCAGATGATGAAGATGACGATGATGATGATGTAAATTTTCTGGATGTTCAGAGAAACCTGAAATCTTGTTCTCCTAGGAAACTCATGTCTCTATCAAATGTGTTAATCGACGCTTATCACAGTCTTATAAATGATAAAGAGGCTATAATAGTTGAACTAGGAGAAGTAGAACAGTCTAGAGATGACCTAGTAGTAGTCGCAGTTGATTTAAGGGAGATAATTGAGAACCGGAAGAAAGAAAGAGATGCCTTAAATGAAAAAATTGCAAATGTAGAACAAGAAAGAGATGATCTTACGATTGTTGTGGTAGACCTAAAAGAGACCATTG